CGCTGGCAAAATCAACGCACGCCGTTCAACATCGATCAAGCAGACGCCAACAACGCGAAACCACTTCGAGCTGTCGGAACGTTGGGGGGGAAATGCAAGCTAAGGGGAACAAACACTTGTTAGTTAAAACTCACCTTGATGAATTTAACCGCTACGGGGAGCATGTGTTGACAGCAACGACAGTTGCTTATACAAACTGAATTTCAGTAATTAACACTCGTTTAAACACCCCACACACACACACACACACATGTACCGTGTGCTTACGTGGCAACGCAAAAATGCGCACATCTAGTGATATTTCGACGCATAACCTGACAGGTTATTTAGTGCTATGGAATACTTTTACAGGGAAGTAAGTACTTTGTGTTTCCTCTTTTAAATGCGACCGATTTCGCGCCTACTTCACCATGCACACCATTCTTGCCTTCACCCCGTTGGCTCACTTCAACCTGAACGTCAAGGTCGCTCAAGACATAAATAAATTGCATTTGTGATTGAAAGGCGATTAACCTGGTCAATGCACCAATTGGATAATCGACCGGTGTTCGTTAATCATTTATCAAAATCGCATAACTACGCATTTCACTACAAATCTATGCAGTTATGATTTGGCTAGGTGAAAATGGTCATCTGCCGATATTTCGTTTACGGGCCTCGATGGGATAAGCAGCCTTTACACTAAACTCTTTGAAGTTTGAATTATAACCAATCAGAACAGCCAACCGGGAGACTATCGCGAAAACTACGGCTTCCCATGTTGAGTGACAACCTCTTGGCATTTCCCAAACGCCAGGTACTTCTGAGCTTCCACTTCATCAAAAGGTTACCCGGAGGTCAAACAACTGCTAGGTCGAATCTCTGAGGCTACTAATTGGAGGTGACATGCTGGTCGTGTATGGCATGGAAGGTTTAATGAGTTAATGTAGTTGACGAACGATGAGCTATGTGGATTGAGGGTGTTAATTTGAAGGTGCAATCTGTCTTTCCACAGCTGTGGTTTAATCGGAAGGATCCATTGTAATTTGAGGTTAGTTCCTTCTCCCCTAGCAGCAGAACTTCGTTGCAAGAAAGTACAAAATCAGGCTTGTAGACATCTGACTTCCGTGATTGGCCAGTTCCATCACCATTGCTGAATTAGTAGTTGGCTTGAGGAGAGGAACGCTGCCAGGAAAATCGATAAAGTCAGATCTGCTGGGCGCCGTCTTCCGCGTGGCGATGAACACAGATCTACCTGGATGTCGGATGCTCTGGTCTTTGGATTTAGTCAAGGTATCGATGTAACGATGCAGCATCCTGATGAATAACCAGGTTTTCGTGGACCTAATAGGGCTCGACTCGATCACAACTCTGCCCCATATCAGCTAGGCGATTGCGTGGATCCGATCGCAAGTGCATGGAATCAGTTGGAGAAGAAACATGACATTTGCATGAAAATCGCGGATTTTAATGAACGCGAACGCCACGTCGATGTTTTAAAACTCAAATGTCAGTGCATCTGTACAATATTGAAAAGACGCGGCTTGACGGTATAGGGAGCAGCCATATTGGACCATGCTGAACTTAGTCAATTCTCCGTATTTGTGTGTTTAAATATCTTACGAGCAAAGTAAGCAGCCAATCAGAGCCAAGGATGTTTGGGTAACACTATTTAATGGGCTACGCAGCCATTACAGACGATTCTAGCCTGTGGTTGGTCAATAAAGCCTGCTCTGCTGCACCTGTCATATTCATTCTACGGCTCCGGTATTCCAGTTTTTCTTAAAGTGAAAATGCATCAAGCAGTCCCATTGGTTTCATTTTTACCAATAGAAATCAAGGTTAATTGTTAAGCACTCTGTTGTCCCATTGGTTCCCCCGATGACCAATGACATTCAACCACAATTTGTGGTCTTTGAGGCTCTGATATCGGGCCAAAATAGGTAGTTGGACCAGCTGACTTGCGCGAAACATGTCTGTTAAATAACCTTTAAGCAAATTTAAACCGTTCAAGAGATTAGATTTCCCACGTATACAAGGACAGAAAATTTAGACTCCGAGCGTAAAGTGAAAACGTGATCACGTAAGTGAGCGATCGAACTTGCCGTTCTTGAAACAACTTCCAACTTGCCTCTGACTTTACACACCAGTCGGTTAAAACAAGCCAATTTTGTGTGGTTTCTGACCAGATGACGCATTTGCACTTTCCGATTGTGTCTTGTGTGTTAGAATGCAGAATTTTGCAGTGCAAATACTTAGTTAAACAGCTGCTGCTTGTAGCTTGATACACGGCGATTCAGGCCAGGCAGGACCCAGTGACACTGTTCAGAAGGCGTTCACTTGAAAACAGCGAAAATTTTGCGGCTGTAGTGTTTTTCTACTCCTCAAGTGGCTGTAAAACCGTTTCTAAGAATTCCAGTCGCGTCACGAGCTCACTTTTGTTACAAAATCGCGCCTCAAAATAGAAAAATGACTGAAAATTCCTACCTTTACTGAGGTTACCAGGAATCGATTATTCATTACAAGGGGTCCCAGGATTCTGCTTTCAATATCCACCGGATTTAATAAACATTGATAATGGGTTTTTCAAATTTCCACATTCGGAATTTGAAATCGCGATTGTCTGATGTTCTACTCACAATTTCTTGAGTTCTACGGTATCACGACAACTTTTAAGGCGAAATTAATTCACGACAACTGAACACACGGTTAATGCAGTCTGGTGTTAGTTTTAAAAAAAACGCACAGAGAGAAACAGACCAAACTGACTCTAACTTTGCGCTTTAAATTGCCCTTTTTTCATGCATTACCGACATGTTTTCGGAGTTAAAATTAGGACGTTTTAATTTTACAGAAGAGCAAGCTGTTTAAATTTTACGAAAATGCAAGTGAGTTTTTAACGAGGCTAAATTTATTAAGAAAAATTCGTAAACATTCCTGGAAATTATTATAAAAAAGCAAAGGCTTGAAACCTACAAAAAAGATAAAAAATAGTTTTTGCCGGTTGATTTAAAAAATGTTGCTGTTTTAATCTAATAACCAAAAGTGTGGTGTAATTTGTTTCCACTTATTTCCTAACTTGGTACTTTGAATCATCAACTGGCGGTCAAGGTTGTGTGTCCTTGTTTAAGTGTGGCCACCTGTTCGAATCGCGCTCTCATTGGTTCATTCGAAAGTACGCACAAATGCAATTGAAGGACAAGTAGAAGCCTCTTACCTGCGCCCCTCTGTCTACCAAATCGACGGAGAGAGGGCACGTGTGGAGGAGGGCACCAGCGACGGACTTTGCCACAGCTTCGGCCAGTGTTCTGATTGGTGGAGGTGATGGAGGAGGGGGGGAGGGAGGCGGTGCTGGCGGGGGTGAGCAGTGGGGTGCCAGGAGGGTCAGGGTGGAGTGTCTTGAGGAGCTCCCCCTTGCGGTGGAGGGCGTACATGAGTGACAGCCTGTGGTCACTTCAAAGCCCGCATGCCTAACCATGCTATGGAGGATGCCAAATATTATTATTGCCAACTCCCGACACGGCGGTGGTAGACTATCGAGAACCCTACAAAAATCAAGGGCGGCCGACTTAGACAAAATCGACACTCAAGGTCATTAAGTGCTTAAACCAAATATGTTTTTCGAGGTGCAGTTGGTGAAGGCAAGCTGGTGAAAATTCGCACACAAGATATCCACCAATAATCGCGCTCGATAAAATTCCCGATCGGTTCAATTCCACCAATCAGAATTCAGGCCTGTGATGCTCCAATAAATGTACACACACGTTATGACTAAGGTTACCGTTTCTAACTTTCCTTGTACCACAAATGAAATAAGAACAAGTGATTAACCAATCAAATTCCTTAGAGGATGAATCCTTCGTTAAGATTCCACAAGTTAGATGGTTCTGACTGTTTAAGGTCAAATCGGACTCATAAAACACCAATTTTAGTCAAAAGGTCAAATGTCGAAGTAAGAGGACTTAAGACAACATTAACTACTAATTGCCGGCAAAAATGGAAGGACGATTGATTTTATAGGGCTCCAAAAACACGTCCAAACTCTAAATAACACATAAAGTATTTTCATGTCTTTGCAAATTTATGAAGATTACCAACCACTAAGTTTATATTTCCTTCCAGAAAATCTAAGCTTGCAGCCTAAGTCAAGGTTTAGGTAAATTTTAGACCACGCTAAACTACTTTTATTTAAATCAGTAGTTCGTCCTAAAGGCCCAGGGCGATCGCTTACTCAATGAAAATATTGAGCTGATCCCTCTCATTGGGTGTGGGTGGAAGCATGCCGAAGTCACAGAGGAAGCCCGTTTTGTCCGCGAACAAGGAGGAGACGAAGATGGTCCTTTCGACACTGCCAACATCGGCCAGACCCTGGTTCTCGCCTGAACTCTGGAACCCTGGCGCGTGCTGCAGCTTCGGGGGCAGTCGGTGTGACGAGGGTTGCGTTGTCGCGGTTCTGGGCGACCCGCCGGTTTCGAGGGGAACTGCCGCCACCAGCAGACGCCGCTCGTTCTGCTCGCCAAAGATGCCACCAGGGACGCTGAGGAGAAAGCGTTTCGCCACGTTGGCCACTGTGTAGACGTTGTAGGCCGACCAATCCACTAGCTCGCCTTTTGCCAAACTCGAACTAATTACCTGGATGCAAAAACCGCCTCACTGAAGGCCTTGGACTTGGTAAGTGCGTAGGTTTGTCTAGACTCAGCACACCCCTTAAGTTCTAATCACGCGGGGTGAATGAATTAAAACACAATACCTGCCACCAACGACGTCCGTCAAAGACGCACCCAACCCCGTTTTATCTTTAGAAACAGGAATGCACTTTGTTGAAGATCTCGAGGGAGCGTTTAATCCACCGCAGGGCATAAAACTTCTAAGCGCACTGCCTCCCAACGCTTTCGTGCGCATGGGGTTTAATTAGCTAGATTGCTCTCCGTTTGCAGGCAGTACTTAATTATTACTTTAGGCGACGCTAAAAATAGGTTACAGACTGGCCCGCGTGAGTTGGAAATGACTGCAACCACGCAATGCAAAAATGTGATAGAGTTTACTGAAAACAGGTACAACAGAACACGTAGATAGGTGAATTACACATTTTAAAAGCTCAAATAAAATTAAAAAGATGGTGATTGGGTAAGCAGAATTACCCTCATCGGCTACTTTAAGCAAAAATTCAATTTATTCTGCTCCAATGAAATCTGGGCCACGAGGTTGATCTTCATTGGTGCGTTGAGTAACCAATCACAAGGCGGGTTCCCACTTGCCACCAAGTTATTGGTCGATTACGCGGGAGAGGTGAAATATCTACTCAGGGGGACACTTGGCTCTAACTTTGCAGAAGTTCAGTTAAAGGATTTTTCGAAATGGTCCAATTAACGCACATTTAGGCTCGTCTTGTTCAAATTGCCACAAAATAATACACCTTTCTATCATTGTGTAAATATCTGAAAAGTAAACCCAAAAGATTGTTTATGCAAAATCCAACAAAGAATCCACCTGTGACGGGATTCCAGTTTGAGTCATGTCCTCGTGCTAAAATTAACTATGTTCTGACGAACAAATTTACTTGCCTAATTTAAGCAAAAATGGTTAGTAATAACAGAGTAAAGGACATTTACAAATTTCGTCTATTTACCGGTTCAGCGATTCTCTCATCCTACTTTTAGGCCACGCACAACACGCTATTTTTAGACTGAGCGACGGGAATTAATCGTGGGGGAAATTTCGGGTACTAAGCGTGTTGAAAGAGACACCGTGCGTAAACACGATACCATTTTGCGCGCAAATTCCAGCATGGCAAATTAGGCAGACAACGGACAGCCCTAAATAACCTGCCAAGTAGTGTGTGCATGTGTTTGGCTAGACATGAGCTCTGTGAAATTGATTGGATGTTTTGTTTAAATGGACTTGACGTGTGCGCGCATTTCAGATGGCCAGGATAGCCAATAATGTTAGGGCGCCTTAAAGTCTCTGTGGAAAATCTGGCATTTTAAATGACACGAGTTAACGTTGAATTAAATCGCACTTTTAGGGTTTGTTTTTTTTTCGACTTAAAAGGTTGTAAGTTCAAGCGGGGCGCGAGAACGCCACCTGACATTTAATCGGTTTGAATGTAGATAAACAAGTTGGTTCAAATTAAGGTCGGATTTGACGATTTGGCAGCAGATTAGCTCCTCCTTCCTTTTTTCACCCAGGCGCGAAAAGAAGGTCTACCGAAACACACAGAACCGAGTTTCGTGCCGAAGTGACCCGGGAAAGGATGGCCTCCGTCGTTTTGCTGTTCGTTATACTTACACCGGTGGAAGCGTACAACACGTGTGTGCTGCGCGCGTGCGTGCGTACGTCCGTACGTGCTTACTGCTCCCAGGGTACGTCCGAACCAGCCGCGGCTAAAAATAGCCGTCCGCACAGCTGACGCTGGGCTTATTAGGTGCACTGGCGCGTGCAGAGCGGGCGAGGCAACGGCGCACGCGTGCGCGCGTGCGTGAGTGGGTTTACGCAGCTGATTACACACTCGGGTCATCGGCTTGGTTAAAAACAAACGGACGATCGGCAAACTACGAATAAACACACCCCCCCCCACACACACACACTTGTTACCTCTCCCGCTACTTATCAGGTGTGCAAAAACAGGGTTCCCAGTTGCCGTGACGACGCGGCGAAGGGGGCTGTGATAGGCCAGGGAGAACCACAAAAACTCTCTTGAGGAATACAAGAACCCAATAGATTTTGCACAACTCTGCAAGAAGAGAGGACCCCGTGGGTTGGAAGTGTAGAGACAAACACCACTTCTAACCTTCCACAGAATCACTGGAAAAGGTTCAACTGAACTGTGTGGAACTCTAATCAAGGCAATGAATACTCAGAGATAAGTGGCTGGTTCAACACGCAGAAAGTTGAAAATACCAAGATTTCTAGACTCATGTGCTATGCTGAAAATGTGCTGGACTTGAATTAAGGCCAAACAAAATCGTCGTAGCGTCTTCTCAGTAGTGATCTAGCCAAGGCGCGTGTGTGCCTAATCGTGTGACGATCCAACTACCATCGATGGAACTCGTAGGTGTTTTCACCTATGCCTTGCAGTTTGAAATTGCCTCCGTGTCCAGAGAGGCCGTCTTGAGACTGTTGTAAATCGTGTCTATACACACCTCTTGATCCGGTCGCTCCATCCTACGACACTGGGTTCCCTTTTCGCAGCATGTCGCCGGCCGTGCGGATCCTCAACTCCCCCCTCATTCGCACGAGTATTCACCTTGGATTATCCTCACACCTAGGTATCGATGTTAGCGCATGTATGGCTCACACATCTGAGGTATAAATACACACGCGCAAATCTCACACACGACACCAACGTGGTGGAGGTCTGAAGTAAGCAGTTGTGTCCACGTCCTTTCCGATCTTTTCCTTCATCGCGGGTATCAGGGAAGCGTAATCGGGCCAGGGTTAAGTCAGTGGCCTCGGCGAGGTTCAAGACCACATGCTGGGGCCCACAACAGGACGACTGATTGAAGTGGCGTCTTCTTTGCTGTTACAGCTCTGCCTTTCGCCAGGGCGATGCGTTGTGGTTCTTCGGATCTTACGATGGAAGTTGGGATGTTAACGAGATGTTTCTGGTCAGATTACTGCTTCCGTGGAGCTACAACCTGTTGTGAATCATTCTGACTCACGCTCATTAACCCGGTAGTCCCATTCTCCACCTTCACAGCGAGTCCGTCAGCCATGTGGGCCGTCTGCTCAAGCACTCCACTTCACTCATCTGCGGCTTGTGGAAATCTTTCAATTCAAGATTCACCGGTGATAGAAATCTGAAAGTCCAACGAAGACATAAAGTACTCTCGAGCCTTTATGCGTCAGTTCCAATCGATGGTGGAATGCCGAATGAAAGACAATGGTTGCAAAGCTGCCTTTTTTGTACAAAATTGGCCCGAAAATTACTAATTTCTACTGTACACGGCGATGTATTAACTAAACTGTCTTCGTATTGGTCAGCCTAGACCAATCATCTTTCGCGATGAAGTATGTCTGCTAGCGACTCCGGGTTCCTTAACGTCGTCAATGCTGTCCACATTTCAGGTTATTGGTCGCATAATCTACCCAAACACGCAGCAGTGAATTGTTTAGATTCTTGACCATCAACCCGTCCGACCACCTTTCCACGGCATGCGTGTCATTCAAGCGGCACCGTCCGCTCACACTCCCTGGGGAGGGAATGTACTCTCCCATGGTGGCCGTTCAGTCGTGTGTACTTCTGTAAACTCACAAACGACGTTAGGTATGCACCACTTTGGACACACAAATGCCCACATGCCTGGGCCTAAAGCAAACCTAAGTCATATTCCACGGCTGCCCGAATTAGAGCTTACATCCATCTGCCTGGGTCACCATGAGCCGATAAAACGACCTTCAGTCGTACTACCACGCCATTGGTCGGTGGTGATGGTGGAAGGCTATTGGTCGAATGCAGGCTGTTCCCAAGGAGTCGGATGAGGTTCTGGAATCAAGGAGATATGAACCAGATTCCTCGATTTGTAGTGATTTTACAGGGAACTCCAAATGAGGTAGTCCATCTTTCGATTAGGCTTTTGTCACTACACCAACGAAAATGTCTTGGGTTATCTTGGGCATCAGATGACTGTCAAAATTTCGTGCCAACATTTGAACATCTCAATTTTCGACTGTCCAATCAATAGCGTTTTGACTTAAGCTGTTGGGGCTCGATGATTGGGCAGAGCAGGGCCCGTGAAGATCCTTAAGCACTTGATGTATTGTATATGAGACGTAAGTTTTAAAGCTACTCTTTATCCTCGGATTTATCAATATTCCTTGTCGAATTGTAAAGCAATCGCCCTCTTCTCGAAATCCACATGAGAGATCGTGTCTGCGAAATATTTGTGACAACGATAGATTGCATCAGCTACAGTACTATCCGCGTATTCCTTGAACAGGGATGGTAGGACGTAGTCGAAGCGTGTAGCTATCTCGGTGAGGAACGATGGAACAGCAGTTGGAGGTAGATGCTGAACGCCGTTACCGATCTTCGAGTGGTTGACTACTTGGTCGATTGCCGATATGCAGGAACGCGATTGAGCCTTGATAAAACTCGTTTCGAACTTCTCGAAAAGCTGTAGAGACCAAATGACAGGCTGCTGCAAATCCACACCTCCCGTTGAAACAGGATCTTGATCTTGAACACGCGCACGGAAGCGGGGATCATTATGTGTCAACCGACGCAAATCAACACCCTTCGTTACAATCCCAAGAATAGACGACATTTGGGTATTTCAGGCAAGGTATGCAGAATATCGTTCGGTATAATAATCGTCCAGCGAATAAGGTGCTTGCTGTGATCCTTCAGAAAGCAAAATTTCACCGAAAAAGAGGGGGAACTGGCCGACCAATCAGAGGCGGCTACACGCTGAACTCACTGTGTGCTCAAACTTAGCTTTCACCATTCAACACACCGCCTAAGCTGTGTTTATCAAGATTTGTTGCGTGTCTTTTTTGGCGTGAAATCAAGCGCAATGCCATTTCTCGTGAAAACGTACTCCACAATTTATCTTACAGCGTTCATCGAAGCTGCAAATGGCTTGTGGCATTAAAAGGCATTTGATGCAAAATTGCTTCTTTCTGTAAGCTTACTGAATCGAGTAAAACTGAAATCCAGCGTAGTTTAAGTCGTTCGGATTAACCATTTAAAGAAAATTTCATTTAAGGGTGTTATCAGCTGGACTGCAAGAATATAGGCAATGTGCATCCCATTTGTTTGGCCGATCCCTTGATGAGATTAAACGAAGTTCGATTCACTAATCAACGGCATCCATTCCCGTCATCGATTATCTACCTAGATGAATGGTGCTGAATTCGATAAATGCCTTTGATTGGTTAGCTGACTTGAAAATGGCTTTGAATTCACCAAATTTGATTTTACCGATAAGAAACCCCAAAAGACAGCACTTCTAACCTTCATCTGATTGATGTTGCCCGGTCGACGAAAGAGGTCACTGATGTGGACACCCTGGCGAGCGAGGAAGGCGAACAGAGTGAACACCGGTTCGGGGATGCTGGTGGTGCGGTGTCGTGGTTTGTCGTGTTCCTCCACGTCCCCCTCACCCCCTCCCACCGCAGCTGATTCACGTCGCATTTGCGAACACTTCGATTTGACCCCTCCGTGTCCTACAGATGAGGCAAATTTTTAAGAAATCGCTGCGAATTACCCTATGTGACAGCTGCTGTGCCACTAACTTTAGTGCCTTGGTAAAGTGAACGAAGCTCACCTGCAACCAATCAAAAAAGAGTCGGACTTGTTCCTCACTAGCCTTATTTACGCAAGTTTACGACTTTTATGATGTCATATTGTTTTGTAGCGATAGCAACGATACATGCATTATTACTACGTCGTAATTTAAGACGAGTAAATATTGTCGACGAATTCCAAGTCTTGCAAAAACAGAAATTCTTGGCTTGATGTTTCTAAAGGTAATGTACGAAGTTTTGAAGGTGAATCTGGCTTTAATCATTCATATTTTCGCCAAATTTAATGGATTCGAGTGCTTGGACCAATCAATGCACTTAAGTGTCCAGCTTAGATTTCTGACTTTACTACTACAATAAGCCAGCTTGCATAGTTGATTTCAGCGAAAACTTGGAGAAATACTATTGGTGGAAAGGGTGATGATGCTGAGCAGGAAGTCGATACGCTCAATACGCTCCACATTGGAATATTGATTTGTTGTGGTTAAGTTGCTAAATTTTCTCATACAATCCTTAATCGACCAATAGGAAATCAGGGAATTTTGTGGGAAATTCTGTGCCTATCCTGAATGCAGCTCTCTGCGCTTAAGGGCAAAAAAGAACCAATAAATGCGGATTTGGATGTGTTTGCAACAAAAAATGTTTATATGAAGTCTTGGAATGTTTTTTGAGCATTACTTTAGCACACATCGTAGTAAATTCTTTCAGAACTGTCATTTCCTCACAAAGACAGCCCTAATTTATTCAAGGATTAGGAAAAAAACAAGCCAAGTACAACGGTACTTAAACGGGGACAAATCATAAAATTTAATTTAAACAAATCAAATGAATGTGACGCCAGCCATTTCGCCTCAGCGAAACTATTTAATTTCGGTACAGGTTGAGATGTCCCTGAACGGGCAAACTGTTGCGTGTCCTCGTAACTTTGGCTTCACCTGCGGACCCTTGACCGGCGGTATAAAACCTCATGAGTCATTAATGACCCTTGGATTTGTTTAAGTGCGCCAAGGCACGGGCGCGAATCGCAAGATTGAACCAGAATCGGGATGAGAGGTCTGGTGCACCACTGACCCCTACACTGTTCAACAACAACAACAAACAAACTAATTCGCAACCGTTTCCATCTAAAAACCAGCGCATGCCGAATTTCATTAAACACACGTAAACCAACTTTGGCCACTTCCCTTCCCACCAAATGTGGAAACTAAAGAAGATTTAATATCCACAAAATCTCAGTGCTGTTCGTGAGCGATCTTAAATACTTGTCTTCGATGAGCATATTCATGAGCACCCCAGAGCATCAAAAAATCCGCCATTGGAAGCCACCCATGAAAACAGCAAATGTCACCATGGCTACGCCAGAGTGCTAGTTTATATTCCTATCCTGGCGCCATGTTGTTTCACCGGCAATCTCAAAGTAAACATATTAATGCATTTTTAATGTACATTCTTGCAATTTCGTGTTTAATAGGGCGCGAAATTTGTCGTAAGCAGTACTTAAATTATTGGCGTGCTTTTTACGAATTCAAACCGGCAAATGTACCACATGCGATCGAAACCCCACGGATACGCCCACTTTTTTATTGATTTTTTAAAATCTAAGTAGAGTTTCAGTTGATGTCTCAGCAATGACCCAGCCAAATAACTCACCAGTACACTTGACAATGGAGCTGTGGGCGTATCGTGATTTTTCGTGGTTTTCTACGCTCGCCTAAAGTGTTTAACGATGAGTGCTCAAGCAGGTGGCTAACTGCAATCATTCTGCATTAGCGATTCTTGCAAATTAGCTTCAATTTAACTAATAAACAGCTGTGTTATCATAATAAGCCTGTTTTCGACTGAGCCGTTGCTTTAGTATGCTTTTTTTTACAAGCACCATGTGCCTGTGGTTGGCGCGTTTTTACGCCACGCAAAAACAAAATCACTTGATTGATTGGCTCGTCAGTCAAGGCTTATCTGAAGATCAATACTCGATCTCTCACTGCACTTGCATAACCGTCGTTGGTTACACACACACGCAAGCAAAAGAGCCGGGGTTTACAGAAATTAGCCAAACTGCAGAAAGAGAGAATTTTGTCTACAGTTAGCTCCCGTTGTTGTTGCCGCCGTCGAAGGTCATTTCTACAGGGATGAGAAGCAGGTGACGACGTGGACGAGAAGTACACGCCTCCAGTCGGTCACCTCCACTGCCTCACCCGAAACCGCTTTGGTCGCAGGAGTCAAGAGGTGTGCACGAGCGCTCAGAAGAACGTCCCAATCTTCCCCACTTCTCCCCCTCCTCCTCCCCCGCCTCCTCCTTCTCCCCCCTGTCGTCCAATCACGACGGAGAGTGCGGAACATCAAGCTTTGACTCCCGTTGTTGTTGCCGCTGTCGAAAGCGATCCTCTGACATCTGTAGCCAAGGTCAGTTATGCTGGGGTGAGTAGCATTCCAAACTAAGACGACATCCAGAAATTGAGTTGAATTTGGTCAATACAGGGAGTTGGCAGTTGTCGTGATACCAAAGCGCATGGCATTGAATTTTGACGCTTAACCAACTCCACATCCACGTCGACAAGCATCTTCGACATCATATCGCCTTCCTTCACGTAAACCGGAACTCGCACTTTTTGCCTTGATGCTCCTGAGAAATCCATCTACCAATCAACACCAGATGCAAATTGCACACCAATTGCAATTACACCAATTACCAATCAACACCAGGTGTGAATTTCACATGTTTCACTGGACTTGATCGACAACTTCAGAATTTGGCCTTGGAATGTGTAGGCCATCTGATTGCGTAATTTGGAGAGCTGTCCGAATCAGCCCGGGTCTGGCACAAAGTGGATTATGCATGCAGCTAACCACTTCAGTAATGCCAAGCTACCACAACGTATCTAAGAGATGTGCTTTTGGACAAATTGCACTGGCGGTTTCGCAAGTGATTGGCGCATTCCACCAAGCAGACGAGGTTGCCTGTAGCTAGTCGATATCGCCAGACAAAATTTTGGCCGAGGTGAATTCGCCAACTTTGCCTAACCGGTGCACTCAGACAAACCAGTAAGTGCTGTGTCCAGAGTTCTTTTTGAGGGGAAACGAATACGCGATTCCCAACCTGGCATTCTCGCTTGACTTTGAATGATCTTGTGAGCGAAACTGACGCGGCAGTGTTTTGGTGTGTGTGTCGTCGGTGTGTGAAATATTGTGATTTGGGGAGTCGGTTAAAGCAAAACGCGATGTTCACATGGACGCTGCACCGCTAACTGTGATGAACAGGCACGCAGGTGACTGGGATGAAGTCGGTTGTGTCGGCTTGC